TTTAATAAAATAGTATTCCTCATATAAAATTAAAACCATTCCACAAATACTAGAGTCTCACATTTTCTAGAACAGATGCAGATATGTCTCACATTATTAGAGTGGAGTGTAAAATTGCACTACACATATGGTAGAGGTAATAAATATCCTTTTAAAAATAAACAAAGGAAAGGCCCTGTAGGAGTAAATATGGTTCATTCATATAATACAGTGTGGAGTATTAAATTAGCAGTGAAATTTATCAAAGTGGTAATAGAGGGAAAAATGACCATCTTCCTATATTAAAACAGAAATGATTTACCATTAGGTACTTGAAAATCCCCATAAGACAATCTTGTCAAAAGTTAATTTATTCATTTTAAAATCTACTTCTACATGGTAGTCCTGCCTCCCCCCTGCCTCCTCCCTCCCTCCCTCCCTCCCTCCCTCTCTCTCTCTCTCTCTCTCTCTCTCTCCTAGATCTTGTCATGTAGCCAAGGTTGGCCTAAAATTTACCATCCTCCTATCCTCCTGCCGCAGCTTCCCAAGTACTGGGGTTATAGTCATCTACTGCTGTGCCTGTCAGAAGTAGTTGTTCTATTAGCCCTGTGGTTGTATTGTTATTATTCATTTACACCATTATATTTTTTGATTTTACTGTAGAAAAATTTCAAAATTCAACACTGGGAGAGTGCTATCACAATTTTAGAATAAAACCTTACTTTTAATAAATTCAAATGTATTGTGTTTTCACATATGATGTTTGCCTTTGATAAAATTGTACACCATTAAGAATACTTGAGGATTATATAGAGGTTGGTTAGTTAGATTTCTACACTGAATTAAATGTAACTGAGGAAAACAAGGTGATTAAAATGAGTATTGTGATGTGGAACAGGAGGAATGAGGTAGAATACATTCCAAAATGTGATTTTTGCCATTCTCTCGAATTCACTATCATTTGCTGAAAGTTAACCAAAGCATCCTATTATTCCAGTATGCAGTGGATTAATGGAGTTTAAAATAAGTTCCCAATGATAAATGTAAACATATTGTATGCCTAAAATGTACCAATAAAAGAATTTAAGGAAAAAAAATAAGTTTCGTGATATTATACAAGAAAATGGAAGGCTATATACTGCTTGTTATGTAAATAGAGGTTTAATTAACACTTAAGGTTTTGCATCTTCACAGGTTGCAAGTGTTAATTAAATCTGTATTTACATGGCAAGAAATGCAGATTTAGATAGCTTTCCTATATGAGCTAACAGAGTATGTTTGAAATAGTACTCCAAAGACTAGGCAAAGTTACATGAAGGATAATCTTTTAAAGTTAGAAGAAATCATTGAGGTACTGTAGTCTAACTTTTTGCGCAGCATGCTAAGTTCTTTCTAAACTGAAAACATGATCAGCTGGCCTGATATGGATACCTCTAGTAAAACCTACTCGAGTTTTATACAGATTTAATTGTTTGAAAATTATTCTGTAACTGTTATACCTCTTCTTCTCCCTGGAGTAGACCAAAAGCAAAAATAGACTAAAAATAAATGAATAAATAAAGAAACAAACACCGCATCCTGTCCACTCTCTCTAACCTGCAGCCACTCACTGCCTCACTGCGCTCAAACTACCATGCATACGGTCCCAAGCATATGGTCCAAGACTTTTCTTCCCTGACTAAACCCACCTGGATTCTTCACCTCTTCAGCATAAACTAATATTTTTGTTTTCATGGTCATTCTAATTTCCTTTCTTTGAATGTATTCCAATTTAATGATATCCAGGGATCCAGAGATAGCGTTTTTTTGCCATTACATCATATTACTAATTGATAATGAGTTTATAATCATTTGTATATTCCTCATAGATTACTGAAACTTTAAATAATAGCTAAGACCAATGCCTAAAATTCTATCATTATATGCAAGTAATATTTTTCTGACTTCAGTGCAGACTTTTATATTTATTCCTGTCAAATTTTTTCTTTTTTTTATATTCAAGAGTTTCTGTGAGATCATGCTAAAGTGACTTACATTTCACTTGTATTCACATTATCTAGTCAGTATATTCTTATGAGCATCAGAACTTTAAGAGCTCATAAAAATCTTTAAAATGTTACAGAAATCAAGATGATACATCATCTACTAAAGAAGGAGATCTTGAGAAAAGAAATCCTACATCCAAAATTCTTTATACTTTTAGGGGTAGGATTGTCCTTTGATAAATCATAGCCCAAATCTATAAGTTTATAAGTTGGAAAAAAAATAGTAAAACCTTCAAAGCCATTGTTTGTGGCATGACTAAAATCTGCACATCAGTACTGTTTTGAGTTTACATTCAAGTCTTTCACAATGTATATGTAACATAAAATGCTTAAACAGAACATTTTGAATGCTCACTGCTATGACAAGGTGTGAAGATGTTGAAACTACTTGCTTTTTCTCACTGTTAGAAATGACGGCCTTTGCCTATCTCATTCTTGAAATGTCTAATGAAGGGCTACTCCACAAACATCTTACTTTGGGAAGTCACTGCCTTCAGAAGCCTCTAACTCCTTTGATAAAGTAGCGACCTCTGTTTCTACGATCCTACAAATATTAACCAATGTTATAGCACTTAGAATAATATTGGAAATTTTAGTTCATGTGCATTTTTCCTCATATGGATCTATTATATTTTTAAAACGTTTTAAAAAGCGGTGTGTTATAAATTTCAAATCTTTCCCAAATCTGGGCTGGGGATATAGCTTAGTGGTTTTGCCACCTGCTGCACAAGTGCAAGGACCTGAGTTCAATCCCCGGTACCAAAACAAATCTTTCCCAAACCTGAAATCACTGGTCCATTATAATTATATATGATTATAATAATAATCACTGGTCTATTGTTATTACCTTATTTTGTCATTGCTTGTGTTTCAGTTTCTTCGGTCTTATTATGCAACTTTTCTTAAAAAAAAAAAATCCAGAGACTTCAGTAATGCCTGGCATTTAGAACTGAAATATAAACAATAAAAATGTTACTTACATACTCTAATATTTTTTATTTTTAAAAATATTTTGGTGATTGTTTTAGGCCAAGTTAAAAAATAAGTGAATAAACCTCTTCAGAAGAAAGATATATGTGGTAGGCATTGTTTATTTCAATCATAATAGAGTAATTTGTGAGAGGAGCAAAAACTTAGTCTTTTATATGTGTTCTAGCCAATATAATTAAAAACTAACACGAGGTCCAGGGATTTAGCTCAGTGGTTCCACCGCCTGCCTTGAAAGCAGAAGGACTGGAGTTTGATCCCTGGTACCAAAAAAAAAAAAAAAACTAACATGAGAACACACTGAGGCCACAATCAGTCTACTACATACTCACCAGAATGGAACAAATAAAAACAAGTTTTAAAAAAAAAAAAAAAAAAACTAACATGAGAACACACTGAGGCCACAATCAGTCTACTACATACTCACCAGAATGGAACAAATAAAAACAAGTTTTCGAATCTTGGTAAAGATTCACAGCAAGTATATTTGACTATTGAAATGTAAAATTGCATAGCCATTTGATAAAACAGTACTTGTTAAAGCTGAACATATTACCTCATAACCCAGTAATTCTACTTCTAGATAAGCATCCAGTAAAATTAAGCACATATGTTCATCAGAAGAAATACTTGAATGTTCAGTGGAGCATTGTCTACATTCACAATAAAATATGCAATGCCCAAATGACCAGCACCAGGAAGAGATGAGTGGAAGTGATGCAGTTGCAAGATGGAAGGACTTTCTGCACATTGCTGAATATCACCTATACTTGCACTTAGATGAACTTCAGATATCTGAGTTGAGTAGAAGGTGTCGGATCCAAAGGAGTGGATATTATATAATTCCATTATACAAACTATAAAACTATTTATATAAATTAAGGAAAATATATTGTGCTTTTATTTCTTTGGGAAAATGAAACAACAGAAAAGATTTGTCGGAGGTGCACTGGTAAGGTTGTCTATTGATTTGGGTGCTGTTTGTTAAAACTCGAAGAACTGAATATTTATATGTGTACTTTTCAGGATATTACACAAATAGGTTGAAATATGTGAAAAGTAAATAAATGAGGAGTCATTACATTAACAAATAGTACCTTTCATGGATGCTTTATATTACTCTTCTAAAATAGACATAAGCATATTTTGAATTTGGGTGCTGGATTTAGATGCTGTTTTTATGTTGTTTGGAGTATTGGAGGAAATGGAAGAGACTTGTTAGGTGGACACTAGGAAGCTGCGTCTCTATTATAAACAAAGGGATGTATTTCCCTAGAATTTTTTTTTTTTTTTGTACCGGGTCCTTGCACTTGTGCATCCCGAGAATTTTTTAAAGACTCAAATAGTTCCTTTTCAGGTATTAATTTTAAAGTTTATTTTCGAGAAGTTTCCATAACATGACTCACTGTATCTTTCATAAGTGACCTGAAAGGAAAACAAAAATAAGAACAAAGGAAAGAAAATTATGGCACACTTCTTTGTGTGTGCCATTGAGGCCCGAACCCAGAGCCTTTCACACGCTAGCCCAGCACTCTACCACGGAGCTATACTCACACCCCACACTGGGAATATTTCATAGCAGAAAGACAAATGAGAAGACACATAATAATTTTAGATTGGTAGCAAATTCTGTGATTTACTGATGCACCTTGTTTCCATTTCTTTCTTAATAGGCGTGCAGTTCAACTTCCACACTTTCCACCTGGAAGACCATCATGATTACTTGCTGATCACAGAGAATGGGAGTTTTACCCAACCACTGGCCCGCCTCACTGGTTCAGAGCTTCCCTCAACAATCAATGCTGGTCTCTACGGAAACTTCAGAGCTCAACTGCGTTTCATTTCAGATTTCTCAATATCATATGAAGGGTTCAACATTACATTCTCTGGTGAGCAAATAAAGGAAAAAAGACCTTTAGTAACTAAAAAGCAAAACAGGCTTCATAAGCACTGGCATAACATGACAGAGAGGGAAAGCTTACAGAAAAGAAGAAAAATGTTAAAAATAGAACAAGAAAGCAAATAAATATCTCTCAGAAAGTTTTAGGTAAAGTTTGAAGTACCTTGAATATTGTCTCTGATAACAAATTAAAGAGAACCTTTCAGTAAAAGCAAAATATCAGTTAATTCACTAAAAATTGAGTAAAGGCACGATAATTACATTTCCTTAAAACAAGAAAAACTCCTGTGGATTTCTAATAGATGGGAAAATCAGCTAAAAATTTTCTAGTGAACTTAAAATGAAAATTCACATATATGTATATATTTATAAGTGAAATGCAAATTAACATCAGTGATTCTCTTGTTTTATTTGTCTTGAAAAAGGTACAGTGACATACCAAGATCAAAATAAACTTAATGTACTCTTCTAGAAGTAAATCATCTAGAAACAAATTAACATAGTTATATCTTTTTTATAGAATAGCCTTATTTGGGGGCCGAGGATTTAGCTCAGTGGTTCTGCTGTCTGCCTCGCAAGCGCAAGGTCCTGAGTTCGATCCCTGGTACCAAAAAAAAAAAAAAAGAAAAAAAAAAAAGAATGACCTTATTTGTAGACAATAGTATGAATTGGATTCCAGGAAAAAAAAAAAATAATACCAAAGAGAATAGAAAGTTTTCTCACCACAGAGTACTACTTTTTAGTCGAATGAAATTGTGAGATAAAATTATTTCTTAAAGTAGGGAAATTTAATAAGTAAATCTTATACTAACTTGCTGAAATTAAAATTGTAATACATTATATGTACACATCCAATGATATTGCTAATCTCATCCTATATTAAAATTGTACATATCTAAACATATAACAATATAAATCTTCTTAAAATATTATTTGTTATTTGGATCAAAATCCTTAGCTGCTAAAATAATTAAGTTATTCCACAATGAATAATAAATAAGAATATTCAATATTACCCTAGAATATTAAAAATATGTCCAAATATGCTTTTAAGCAGTCAAACATTAGTTGATCAACATAAAGTTATCCTTGTTGATCTTTATTTCAGTTACATAGTAATTGCTCTGAGAATATTTTTAGTTAAGCTGTTAGAGCTACATATAATAATAATATTTAATCAATTCTACTCTCTTGTACACTAAAGACTGCTTAGTTGTTCATTTTTATGATCATCCATTTCTTGGGGAAAAGGTCGTGTATAAATCTGTAATGTAATAGTTACAAGGATGTGGGTACTTCAGGCTTATATAAACTTTTGCCTCTCAAACAGAATATAGGTTAATTGAACGCCTGTATACTAGAAGCACAAACACTGTTGTCATTTAAATTAAACCCATTAAGGGAAATGTATTTTTACACTGCAAATGATTTCTTTCCAAATGTTATTTTGCATTTGAAAATATGCATCTCTTCTTTTGTTATAACCCAAAAATCTATGAAATGGAAGTTTCTAATGCAGGAAAAAATTAGATAGTTACATTTTCAATTTATCACTGAGGTGACTTTTCTCATTTCTATTTAATTTCACATAAAAATATTCATTAAACTATTAGATATTTCTCACAAGAAAAATTATGTGTCCCACCAGCATGTTTCCAAAATTATACATATAGTTACTCTGAAAATATATGATTAGTCCCTAAAAGCATCCAGTTTGCCAATGAAGAATATGCTCCTAAAAGTAATAGCTATTATTCCTTTCCTCTCCTCTTCGGAGGGGAGGGTTTCCCCTGATTTACAGAGTATAACCTCGAACCTTGCGAAGACCCTGGGATTCCTCAGTATGGTAGCCGCGTTGGGTTCAGCTTTGGCGTTGGTGACACTTTGACCTTCTCCTGCTCACTGGGTTACCGGCTGGAAGGCGCATCCGAGGTCATCTGTCTTGGTGGTGGTCGGCGAGTGTGGAGTGCACCCCTGCCAAGGTGTGTGGGTACGTGGTCAGCTGCTTTCATTTGCTTGTATGTGTAGTCACTGTCCATGGAATTGCATGGTTACACACCCCTTTTTATAAGCTGTTGAATTTCTTCATTTACTTCATATTAATTATTTTCTTTCAACTTGGCAATCTGGTGTACCTTAATTTCTCTACTGTTGCAGTCAAGCTTCAGTACTTCTAAACTTGTTTTCCAATCATGGTAATGAAGAGGGAACAAGACAGGTAGGTAGAGGGATAGATTGACAGAATCACAAATAAATGGATATAAACTGGAATTATTTCTTACCATAATCAGTTTTATAAACTAAATTGGTGGTCAGGAAAGACACCAGATTGTACTCAAGACAGTAACACTAAAAATAACATCTACATTCCTATTTTCCAAGGATTGTGCCAGGTATCTGATTTACATGGCTAGTCTCCTTTCAATCTCATATCTACCTCTGTACAATGACAGAAGTGCCACAGTTGTAACCATTTTGCAGATAAGAAAAAGTTCGGAAAAGTGAACTGGTCAAATATTAAATGTTGAGGCACTCTGAAAACCTCTCTCAGACTATTTCCAGAGAGAGCTCAAAGAAAGTGAATCCTTACTTTCTACTGAACTAAAGTTTTGACATTTTGGAACTTAAAATTAACATACATAAAAGCTAATTACACTATGTCAAATGAAGAATAGATGATTAAGTACTACTAAGTCATTTATTGACATGATAGATTAATTAAGCTGATTATTCGTCTCATGTTCTGAGATAAACAATAACAATAATTAAAGTATTGGAAGTGTGGAAACACCACCTAGGTCTTTGAAAATGGTATTTTATCTGGTAAAAGGAGAACATGTTTTTCTTTTTTAAAAAATGAGGGATTTTTTTCATTATAATTTAGGTCATCTTCTATTTTAATTAGAAAACAGAAAGCAAGAAATTTTCCAGCCCATCAGCCATTCAGTATTTACCAGTACTCACTTTTATACAAAATATCATGTTATCCTTATTTCACTAAGCTATTAAAAGTTTTCACAAACATTTAATTTGAATTTAATTGAATTTAGATAAATTTAATTGTGGGTCACAGCACTGTGTAAGTGATAATGATTCCAAATAGGACAAATTGGTAGAGGTTTGATCTGTCCTTTGTGCCCTTATCTTATTGTCTAGCTAAAAAATGTGCCACAGGTGAAAACACAAATGAAGAGAATACCTGTTTGCGTTATTTAATATATTGTCCAAAATATACAAAGCAGAAACTCCTCCCAGCTTGCCAAGTTGCTGACTTAGAAAGAGCTGTACTAAAATAAAAAATAGAAAAGGGGCTGAGGATATATTTTATTGGGAAGGCCTGAGTTCATTCCCTTTACAGAAAGAAGGAAAGAAAAAAGAGAGAGGCAAGTGGAGGGGAAAAAAGGAAGGAAGGAAGGAAGGAAGGAAGGAAGGAAGGAA